TTTTTTTTTTAAAATAATGATTCAAGTGATTATCCGGCATTTTTTTTTTTAAAACTCGGCGCCGCCCGAGGCCGCCGGCTAATCGATTATCTCCTGTACCTTGAACTTCTTTGCCCCCCCCCCCCCTTACATAGCCAGCCGGGGCTAATCGGAGGTGCGATTAGCCCTGCACCTCTCCCGATAGCCGCTGCTTCTGCCGTTGCAGCGCTGTGTCCGTGCCGGTTATCCTGTCCCGATCATCTGCGTTACTTCCTTAACCACCACGTCCACCACCACCACCACGTCCACCACCACGTCCACCACCACCACGTCCACCACCACGTCCACCACCACGTCCACCACGTCCACCACCACGTCCACCACCACCATCACCACCACGTCCACCACCACCACCACGTCCACCATCACCACCACCACGTCCACCACCATCACCACCACGTCCACCATCACCACCACCACCACGTCCACCACCACCACGTCCACCACCACCACCACGTCCACCACCACCACCACGTCCACCACCACCACCACCACGTCTTGCTACCCACAGTGATCGATATCAATCTGGAGAAGCCCAAAGATCCTCCGGTGAGCGAGGCTTCCTGCTCCTGCTGATGTCCTGCCCGCGTCAAGTCCCTACGACTGCCTCCCATCGCGGCCACGATCCGCCCACCCTCGCCCACCCTCGTCCACCCTCGTCCACACTCGTCCACCCTCGTCCACCTCGTCCACCCTCGTCCACCTCCTTCACCCCGACTCAACCCACGCGAGACACGAGTGTGTACACCGCCACTCCCGCCGCCGCCCATCCTCGTCACGTTTTAGTGTCATCATCGTCGTCGTCATCGTCGTCATCGTCATCGTCGCCATCATCATCGAGCGCTTCCCCGCGCGGTCGCTGCGTTGACCTGCCACCGTTGCACCGCAAGGCGTCGACGTGCGTGTAAGGGGGGGGGGGTGGGGGATGGGGGGGGGGCCAGGGGCGGAGTTTTAATTTCTCGTCGCGTTATTTTGCCCGTGCGGTGCGCGTGTCCGGAGTGGCGGCGGTGGCGGCGGTCGCTGGTAGACTGGGGGAGGGGGGGGGGGGGAAACGTTGTACGGAATGCACACGGTGGCGCGTGCGTGCGTAACGCGTGTGTGTGACCAAGGAAGTATCCACAGCTGTAGTGTAGGGTGAGGGCGTGGGGGAGGTGTGTGTGTATGTGTGACCAAGGAAGTATCCACAGCTGTAGTGTAGGGTGAGGGCGTAGGGGAGGTGTATGTGTGTGTGTGACCAAGGAAGTATCCACAGCTGTAGTGTAGGGTGAGGGCGTGGGGGAGGTGTATGTGTGTGCGACCAAGGAAGTATCCACAGCTGTAGTGTAGGGTGAGGGCGTGGGGGAGGTGTATGTGTGTGTGTAAATGCGACCAAGGAAGTATCCACAGCTGTAGTGTAGGGTGAGGGCGTGGGGGAGGTGTGTGTGTGTGTGTGCTATATACTTGATGTGCGGTGCGTGCCGGTGATATTCATTGAGCCGCCCCCGGCTTTCACGACTTCCGGTGCCGGCAGCGGTGCCGGCAGCGGTACCGGCAGCGGTACCGGCAGCGGTACCGGCAGCGGTACCGGCAGCGGTACCGGCAGCGGCGAGCGAAAGCCGCGTTCGGAGGGCGGTGCAGGAGAAGGGATGACATCGCGATAGGGGGAAACGAAAAAACGAAAACCCTCCCAACCACCAGAACGATGATGACGACGTAAAACTCGTGGCGGCTAGCGACGTAACGGACCTCCGGTTGGTAACCAAACGTTCAAGAGTATCATCGGCGTAGCGGACCTCCGGGTGGTAACCAAACGTTCAAGAGTATCATCGGCGTAGCGGACCTCCGGGTGGTAACCAAACGTTCTAGAATATCATCGGCGTAGCGGACCTCCGGGTGGTAACCAAACGTTCAAGAATATCATCGGCGTTGCGGACCTCCGGTTGGTAACCAAACGTTCAAGAGTATCATCGGCGTTGCGGACCTCCGGGTGGTAACCAAACGTTCAAGAGTATCATCGGCGTAGTGGACCTCCGGTTGGTAACCAAACGTTCAAGAGTATCATCGGCGTAACGGAACCTCCGGTTGGTAACCAAACGTTCAAGAGTATCATCGGCGTAGCGGACCTCCGGTTGGTAACCAAACGTTCAAGAGTATCATCGGCGTTGCGGACCTCTGGTTGGTAACCAAACGTTCAAGAATATCATCGGCGTAGCGGACCTCCGGGTGGTAACCAAACGTTCAAGAGTATCATCGGCGTAGCGGACCTCCGGTTGGTAACCAAACGTTCAAGAGTATCATCGGCGTAGCGGACCTCCGGTTAAAAACCAAACGTTCAAGAATATCATCGGCGTTGTGGACCTCCGGTTGGTAACCAAACGTTCAAGAATATCATCGGCGTTGCGGACTTCCGGTTGGTAACCAAACGTTCAAGAGTATCATCGGCGTTGCGGACCTCCGGGTGGTAACCAAACGTTCAAGAGTATCATCGGCGTAACGGAACCTCCGGTTGGTAACCAAACGTTCAAGAATATCATCGGCGTTGCGGACCTCCGGTTGGTAACCAAACGTTCAAGAGTATCATCGGCGTAACGGAACCTCCAGTTGGTAACCAAACGTTCAAGAATATCATCGGCGTAGCGGACCTCCGGGTGGTAACCAAACGTTCAAGAGTATCATCGGCGTAGCGGACCTCCGGTTGGTAACCAAACGTTCAAGAGTATCATCGGCGTAGCGGACCTCCGGTTAAAAACCAAACGTTCAAGAATATCATCGGCGTTGTGGACCTCCGGTTGGTAACCAAACGTTCAAGAATATCATCGGTGTTGCGGACCTCCGGTTGGTAACCAAACGTTCAAGAGTATCATCGGCGTTGCGGACCTCCGGGTGGTAACCAAATGTTCAAGAGTATCATCGGCGTAACGGAACCTCCGGTTGGTAACCAAACGTTCAAGAATATCATCGGCGTTGCGGACCTCCGGTTGGTAACCAAACGTTCAAGAGTATCATCGGCGTAACGGAACCTCCGGTTGGTAACCAAACGTTCAAGAAAATCATCGGCGTTGCGGACCTCCGGTTGGTAACCAAACGTTCAAGAGTATCATCGGCGTTGCGGACCTCCGGTTGGTAACCAAACGTTCAAGAATATCATCGGCGTTGCGGACCTCCGGTTGGTAGCCAAACGTTCAAGAGTATCATCGGCGTAACGGACCTCCGGTTGGTAACCAAACGTTCAAGAGTATCATCGGCGTAACGGACCTCCGGGTGGTAACCAAACGTTCAAGAGTATCATCGGCGTAACGGACCTCCGGTTGGTAACCAAACGTTCAAGAGTATCATCGGCGTAACGGACCTCCGGTTGGTAACCAAACGTTCAAGAATATCATCGGCGTTGCGGACCTCCGGTTGGTAACCAAACGTTCAAGAATATAATCGGCGTTGCGGACCTCCGGTTGGTAACCAAACGTTATAGAGTATCATCGGCGTAACGGACCTCCGGTTGGTAACCAAACGTTCAAGAATATCATCGGCGTTGCGCGTCTGCTGCCTGGTTCCGCTTGTGTTGGTTCTCTTTGTGTTTGAAGTTGGCTTTGAGGGGGGGGCAGGCGGTGGGGTGTGTGGGAGGTGGGGGCGGGTCCGTGAGGATTGGCGATCGCGGGGATGAGCAATTTTCCGACATCATAGGTCAGGAGGAGACAGAAGTTGCGTGTGTCGAAGCTTCCGGGTGGGGGGGCATGGGGGTTATGCACGTGCGTGTGTGTGCGTACCGTGTGTGTGTGTGCGTACCGTGTGTGTGTGTGTGTACCGTGTGTGCGTATCGTGTGTGTGTGTGTGCGTACCGTGTGTGTGTGTGTGTGCGTACCGTGTTTGTGTGTGTGTACCGTGTGTGCGTGTGCGTACCGTGTGTGTGTGTACCGTGTGTGTGTACGCGTACCGTGTGTGTGTGTACCGTGTGTGTGTGTACGCGTACCGTGTGTGTGTGTACGCGTACCGTGTGTGTGTGTGTGTACCGTCTGTGTGTGTGTGTACGCGTACCGTGTGTGTGTGTACGCGTACCGTGTGTGTGTGTGTGTACCGTGTGTGTGTGTACGCGTACCGTGTGTGTGTGTACCGTGTGTGTGTGTACGCGTACCGTGTGTGTACCGTGTGTGTGTGTACCGTGTGTGTGTGTGTACCGTGTGTGTGTGTGTACGTACCGTGTGTGCGTACCGTGTGTGTGTGTGCGTGCCGTGTGTGTGTGTGTGTGCGTTCCGTGTGTGTGTGCGTACCGTGTGTGTGTGTGTGCGTGCCGTGTGTGTGTGCGTGCCGTGTGTGTGCGTGCCGTGTGTGTGTGTGCGTGCGTACCGTGTGTGTGTGCGTACCGTGTGTGTGTGTGTGTGCGCGTACCGTGTGTGTGCGTGCGTGCCGTGTGTGTGTGTGCGTACCGTGTGTGTGTGTGCGCGTACCGTGTGTGTGTGTGCGCGTACCGTGTGTGTGTGTGCACGCGTGCCGTGTGTGTGCGTACCGTGTGTGTGTGTACCGTGTGTGTACGTACCGTGTGTGTGTACGTACCGTGTGTGTGTGTGTGCGTACCGTGTGTGCGTACCGTGTGTGTGTGTACCGTGTGTGTGTGTACCGTGTGTGTGTGTGTGTACCGTGTGTGTGTGTGCGTACCGTGTGTGTGTGTGCATGTCGAAGGTTGCGGGGGAACTGCGGCGCTGCGGTTAGCGCTGCGCCGCGCTACGAACCCCGCGGCGGCCCGAGTTTCGATTCCCCGCCTGAGGACCACCGACGCCTGACATTGACGATTGTCCCGAGTCCCTGGGTGCCTCTCCCCTCCCTCGGTCGACTCGGCACCCTCGGACGGGATCCCCCCGGGAGCTCGGTGCGGTGAACATCGGCACGGGGGGGAGACAAAGGCGGCCGTGGTGCTCGACACCGGGCGGCCGGCCACCCACCCACCCCACCGGCCCTCTCGTGTGCCACAGTGCCGGCCTTGACCGCTGCTGCTGCTGTCACAGCCACTTTGCCTCCTCCTCCCCCCCCCAAAGTGTTGGGGGAAGCCTTTGGATCGGGGGTCAAAGGTTACAGGTCGAACAAATTAAACGGGGTGTGCCGTGACCTCCACCCCCCCCCCCGGCTACCATCGCGCAAACTCCGGTGGCCGTCCTCGTCGTCGTCGCCAGCGGCCCTCCCCCCCCGGGAACGCGCTTCCGCGGCCGTCTGGAACGCTCTCTCCCTTCCGACGCGATTTTTAGCCAACCGGAGCCGTGCGTGCGTGCGCGCGCCGGCCGTCAAATCATCCCGAAGCAAGTTGGTGACGTTCACGGCGGCCTTTCGCCCCGCCCCGCCGCCGTCCCACGGGTTCTCAATCGTAAACAAAAATCCTCTTTCAAAACAACGCCCGATAGGCGGCGCGGGTTCGATCGATGAGGTCAAAGTAAGTCGCAAATCGCGCGCTCCACTAGCGCTCGGAGCGATTCGCGAATCCGGCCCGCGCGCGTCTCTCGCGCCCCGCGCGCCCAAGGTCAAGGGAGAGAGAGAGAAACCATCGCTTCAGATTGACGAAACTCATCCACTCGAGGAGCCGCTCGTTGTTTCACGTTTAAGTTGGCCGTCGTTCGTCCCCCACGTCCCCCTCCTCTCCGCAGCGGTCGCGATGTGACGCGTGACGTTGACGATGCCGCGCGGCGCGAGAGCGGCGATGCTGGGTTTTTTTCCCCCCGCGCAGGTGGGTGCTGTGAACTCGTTATTAATTTGAGCAGGTTTAAAAAAAACACAAAAAAAGGGGCAGGTCTCTCGAGCTGCCGTCAGAGGTAGAGAGCTTTGCTTTGTTTTATTTGAGAAGCGACCTCGCCCACCGAACGCTGGGTCAACGAAGTGGATTGTCACGTGGACATTTCGAGCAGGGAGAAATTCCACGCGGGGGGGGGGTGGTGAGGAGAGAAACGTGAACTCCAAATATAGAGCCGTCACGGTCGGGATCGAACCCGCGACCTCCTGTCTACCAGGCGAGGTAGTCAACATCTCCTTGCCACCGTGATGATGAGAAAGATACTAGCAAACTCCAAATATACAGAGGTCACGGTCGGGATCGAACCCACGACCTCCTGTCTACCAGGCGAGGTAGTTAACATCTCCTAGCCACCGTGATGATGAGAAAGAGACTAGCAAACTCCAAATATACAGACGTCACGGTCGGGATCGAACCCACGACCTCCTGCATACCAGGCGAGGTAGTTAACATCTCCTAGCCACCGTGATGATGAGAAAGAGACTAGCAAACTCCAAATATATAGACGCCAGGATTGGGATCGAACCCGCGACCTCTATACCAGGAGAGGTAGTCAACATCTCCTAGCCACCGTGATGTTGAGAAAGAGACTAGCAAACTCCAAATATATAGATGACAGGATTGGGATCGAACCCACGACCTCCTGTCTACCAGGCGAGGTAGTTAACATCTCCTAGCCACCGTGATGATGAGAAAGACTAGCACACTCCAAATATATAGACGCCAGGATTGGGATCGAACCCACGACCTCCTGTCTACCAGGCGAGGTAGTTAACATCTCCTAGCCACCGTGATGTGAGAGAGAGAGACGCGCAAACTCCAAATATATAGACTCCAGGATTGGGATCGAAGCCACGACCTCCTGTCTACCAGGCGAGGTAGTTAACATCTCCTAGCCACCGTGATGTGAGAGAGAGAGAGAGACGCGCAAACTCCAAATATATATATAAAAACGCCAGGGCAGGGATCGAACCCTCGACCTGTATACCAGGCGAGGATAGTTGACATCTCATCAGGGTAGGGATCAAACCCACGACCTCCCGTACACCTGGCGAGGTGATTAACATCTCCTCGGCGCCGTCAAGTTTGGCGAGACGTGGCGTGATCCCGCTGAGCACAGCGGGGGACAGGTGAAGGCTGAGGAGTTACGCCGCCGCTGGGGAGGAGAGCGGTGATTGCGGTGGTGATGACGTTGATTGCGGCGGTGATGACGTTGATTGCGGCGGTGAATACGATGATAGCGGCGGTGGTGATGATGATGGCGATGGTGGTGGCGATGATGGTGGTGGCGACGGTGGCGATGACAATGACGGTGGTGATGACGGTGGCGGTGGCGATGTCGGTGGTGACGATGGCGGCGGTGATGACGGTGTTGATGGCGGTGGTGACAATGACCGTGACGATGGCAGGGGTGATGACGGTGTAGGTGGTGACAATGGCAGTGACGATGGCAGGGGTGATGACGGTGGCGGTGGTGACAATGACAGTGACGATGGCAGGGGTGATGACGGTGTTGATGGTGGTGGTGACAATGACAGTGACGATGGCAGGGGTGATGACGGTGGCGGTGGTGACAATGGCAGTGACGATGGCGGCGGTGATGACGGTGTAGGTGGTGACAATGACCGTGACGATGGCGGCGGTGATGACGGTGTTGATGGCAGTGGTGACAATGACCGTGACGATGGCAGGGGTGATGACGGTGTAGGTGG